TACTTTAGTGAAATGTTCTGATACGCCTGAGTTAATAGAATTATTGAGCGGAAAAGATAAATCATGAATCAAGCGAAACGCCCCCGGCTCATGTTTGGGTATCACACCCAACGGTGAACAACGCAAATTTTGGAAGGGAGAGAGTGCAAACGGACCCATAACACGAACATGTGCCAACTAATTATTGATCTTTTTCACTAACATCTCAATATGACTAAAACATTAGGTATGGTTACGAGCTGCTGAAAATATTCTTTGACCCGTAAATGGAATGTGAAAACCTTCAGTAAATCCAGCAACTAAAAATTTTCGTTCATCAATATTATAACCCTCCAATATCCCCCCACAACCTACTTGGGATTACTGGCGTTGAAATTTCGTTTGTTGCCTGCACTAGTGGTCCGAAATGAATAACGGGACTGTGATCTAACACCCGCCGGGGGTGGAGGAATTGCGATTGACTGGTATAGGCACTTTAGAAGCCGAAAGGGAAGGATTATTAGTTGAATTCTTGGATGAGGGCAAAACGGAACGGATTGGCGAATTTTGAACATTGTAAGGCTGATTCCTGCGAGTTTTAGCAAAACACTGGAAAACTGAATGGTTAAAACCACATCTAGAGCAAACGTGAAAAATTACAATTTGGGCGATAACAGCCCTGCTGAGAGTTAAAAGCCCAGCAAACCCGTTTGGAAGTAGATGCAAGAGGATATGCCATACGGGAAGATCTTTGTAAGGAAGTATTAATGTGAACCCCATACAAAATCGTGGCATGAGCCAAAGCTCAGCATATATATGGTCCCATGGTAGCAATTGGGATTGACGTAACAACCTAAATTGAGAATCATAAGTCTGAGCCAACTCAGTTAGTAACGAGCTATATGTTAGTAAGCTGGAGGCCAAATTAGGCGTGCGTTGGACCAGAATGTCCATGAAAATTGTAAACGCACGTTGCCACTGGTCAAAACTTAATTCTTTAGAGGTTTTGGGAGTAGAGGAAAGTTTAAAAACTGGGTCCTCCCCAGATTCCGAAATATTGATTGCTAACTGAGTTGGCACATTCCCACCAGCTAACAATAATGAAAATTCGATAAATTTATCAGCCCAGATATTATGTTTGATTTTTTCAGAAAGGTGCCTTGATACGGACATGTCCACTGGCTGCAAAATATTATTTATTAAGGATGGTTGGGTAATATGACAAGGGTTATGGACGTAACGGCCAAAAGCAAAAACGGCCAAAAATTTCTGGTCGTAACGGCCAAAACATTTTATTGGTAATAGTTTGATGAACCAAATATTCAAAAAACATAAGAACATAAACAATTTTAATATATTGTATTTTTGAAATGACATAAATTATCTTATAACAAAAATAACAACAAAAAATAAACATGGAGGCATGTGTACAAGATCCTATATCTATTCAACCAATCATTTTAATTCAAAAGCGGAAGAAATATCAGGATTGCGATGTCTTAAAACACAATGTATTTGTAACACTTAAATTGGCACGTACATTATCTTATACATATGATTCCAGACGGTGGGGGTGGGGGATCCATTTGTCAATCCAGGACTATCTACATGTATTCTACAGGTCCATGGTGACGGGAACATATCCATAAGACCATGCTGGCACTCAAATCTCCATTTTCATAATCTCCAAGCATGGTAAGCTAGATAATACTTAATTTTTGAATAGTCTGTACATTTAACATATACCTTATATGTTATTGTTTGTCCTTATTGTCTGGTTAAACACACTCCAAGATGACATTTTAAAAAGGCTATGGTCAATTCACATTTTAAGTCGAGCGCTCGAGATATTTAAGTCGAGCGCTCGAGATAATTAAGTCGAGCGCTCGAGATACTAAGTCGAGCGCTCGAGATAATACAATCGAACACGGGTCAACCGATGTTTTAATCTGTATAATTTTGTGCATTATTTAATGATAAACTTGCAGAATAAAGGTATTCATTCGTTCGTTTTTACAGCCCATCCAAAGCTGCAGTGACGGAGCGCCCCCCCCCCCCCCCACACGCACACATTCACTCCATCCCATGCTCATCACCACCACTAAATATTTCCAGTTATATTTACCCCCTTCCAAGTAGGGAGTATATCGCATGTTATTATACGAATCAATAATTATATATAACGAGGTTAAAGAGTTTTGCTAGGAGAGACTGACACTTCCTCTTATCTAGAAGCTCAGGTCTGATCCAAGGATATATATTTCATATGTGTAGGAACTGTTCATTGCCTAATTTACCATGGCGCAAGTGGCGCGATCGTGCCGGGCTTCTACATTCACCCCCACTATCCAGCGCCCAAAATCAATAGTTGCCGCCCTTATGCCATAAGGAATACATAATAATATGCCAAGTTCCAAGCTGATCCATTCAGAATTGCGGCGTGTATACGGTAAATACAAACAAGAGCATCGCTAAGGCTGCAATATACGTCCACATTCCTGCTTTGATTGATAGTTGCTGTCCTTAGGGTATAAGTAATAAGTATACCAGGTTCTAAGATAATCCATTCAGAATTGTGGCCTTCGGACTCTGCCCCTGGGGGTCGGGGCATTCACCAAAATCAATAGTTGACACCCTTAGGCCATAAGGAATACATATGCCAAGTACCAAGTTGATCCATTCAGAATTGCGGCCTGTAAACGATAAACACAAAGATTGGGCGTGGCTCTGACCCTGGGGGTCGGGACATGCATTTGTTGTCCTTAGGCTACAAGGAATACATATCCCAAGTTCAAAGATGACCCATTAAGAATCGTGGCCTGTAGGTAACAGACAGAAACACAAAGAAAAAATGGGTGTGGCTCTTCCCCTGTGGGTTGGGCAATCCCAAAAAAAACAATAGGGGTCGTCCTTAGGGTAAAAGGAATAGGTATGCAAAGTTTCAAAAGAATCTGTTAAGAATTGCGGCCTGTAGATGACACACAAACACTGGACATGGCTCTGTCCCAGGGGGTCGGGCATGCACCAAAAATAATAGAGGTCAGCCTTAGGGTATAAGGAATAAGTATAAAAAAATTTTCAAGATGATCGATTAAGAATTGCGGGCTGTAAATGACACACAAACACACAAAAAGAAAATGGGTGTGGCTCTCCCCTGGGGGGTGAGCATTCACCACAAACAATAGGGATGTTCCTTAGGATAGAAGGAATAAGTATGCAAAGTTAAGAAATGTGGTCTGTAGTTGACAAATAAAAAAATACAAGAAATGGGATCATCCTTAGGGCATAAGGAATTCATATGAAATTTTTTCAAGATGATCGATTACGAATTGCGGCCTGTAGGCGACACAAAGACACACAAAAAGAAAATGGGCGTGGCTCTGCCGATTGCTGGGTTGGGCATGCACCCAAAACAATAGAGAAGTTTCTTTGGGTACAAAGAATAAGTATGCAAAGTTTCAAGACGATACTTTAAGAAATGCGGCCTGTAGACGACAAACAAACCAATACAAGAAATGGGCGTGGTATAAGGAATAAGTATGTAAAGTTTCAAGATGATCACTTAAAGGTCACCGGAAAAGCATCAATTTTAGTCCTACTGCACATAGAACTAGAAATGGGCGTGGCTCTGCCCCTGGGGGTCGGGCATGCACCAAAAACAATAGGGATCTTCCTTGGGGTATAAGGAATAAGTATACCAAGTTTGAAGAAAATCCAGTAAGAATTGCGCCCTGTAGGCGACACAAAGACACACGAAAAGAAAATGGGAAATGGGCGTGGCTCTGCCTCTGGGGGTTGGGCATGTACCCCAAACGATAGGGATGTTCCTTAGGGTACAAAGAATGTGTATGCAAGATTATAAGTTAAGAAATGTGGCCTGTAGACGACAAACAAACAAATACTAGAAATGGGCGTGGCTCTGCCCCTGGGGGTCGGGCATGCACCAAAAACAATAGGGATCTTCCTTGGGGTATAAGGAATAAGTATACCAAGTTTGAAGAAAATCCAGTAAGAATTGCGCCCTGTAGGCGACACAAAGACACACGAAAAGAAAATGGGCGTGGCTCTGCCCCTGGGGGTTGGGCATGCACCCCAAACGATAGGGATGTTCCTTAGGGTACAAAGAATGTGTATGCAAAGTTTCAAGATTATTAGTTAAGAAATGTGGCCTGTAGACGACAAACAAACAAATACTAGAAATGGGCGTGGCTCTGCCCCGGGGGGTCGGGCATGCACCAAAAACAATAGGGATCTTCCTTGGGGTATAAGGAATAAGTATACCAAGTTTGAAGAAAATCCATGAAGAATTGCGCCCTGTAGGCGAACCACAGACACACACACACACACACACACACACACACACATACATACATACACACACACACACACACAGACAGGGGCGACGGCATAATACGTTCACATTATGAATGTGGACGTATAAAAATGTGCGTGGGTCTGCCCCTGGGGGTCGGGACATGCAGTTGTCGCCTTTGGGCTATAAGGAATACATATGTCAAGTTCCAAGACGATCCATTAAGAATCCTGGCCTGTAGGCAACACACAGATACACAAAGAAAAAATGGGTCTGGCGCTGATCCTGGGTTCCAGGCAATCACCAAAAAAAACCCCAATAGGGGTCATCCTTAGGGTATAAAGCAGTCGACACACTAGCCGAATGATTCTGCCGAATCGTTCAGCCGAATCATTCGGTGTCGAAATTCGCCTAGTGTGTCCTGTTTGAATTATATTCGCCTGGTGTGTCCGCTTCGCCGAAGCATTCGGCCGAATATAGAATTCATTAGCCAATCACCACTCATATCGAGAAGTCACGTGATAGATTGAAGACATAGACGCCGCCATGTTTAATCATGTGACGTGAAAGGTGATGCAATCGACAGGTTGAATCGGGCGAAGCATTCGGCTAGTGTTTCCACCCATTCGGCCGAAAAAAATATATAATAAAAAACACATATTGTAATAGCATAAAACAATTTTATTTCTTTTACATTCTTAAACAACTATATTTACAATTTACAAAATCCGTCTTTGCTTTACAGTAGCCCAATTGGAAAAGGATTTATGGAGATCCGGTTTATTTTTAGTTAAGGTGATGGACATCAAATTTGATAATGTGTTTGGTTTCAAACAGTTTCTGCTCTCTGTTTTAATTAAAGTTTGCTTACTAAAACCTCGTTCACAATCAACGGTTGCAACCGGTATACACAATAATCTGTTAGCAATTTTATTTACATTAACAAAATTTGATTTTTCATTTAGGGCAAGTTTCAACACATCATCAATTCTATCGATTGGACAATCAACATATTTTAAATAACCCCTGAAAGAAACAATCTCTGATACACAGTCATTAACATCAAGATCAATTGTTTGAAAAAAATTACCTAATGACCTAATATAATCCATATCTACATCACAATTTACATCAAATAATCTACACAGTTTATTTAAAATAACACTATCCCCTTTTTCCTCAAATCTACATTCTAAATTATTAACAACATTGCTTACAAATTTCATCCCTATCACCCTAGCATCTTCCCTTTGTTTTTTCCCATCCCTAATTTTTTGATCATTGTACAAAAAATGTGTCAACATTAACCGTTGTTGGGACTGTGTCCAATCAATTTAAAATATTGATACCGTAATTCTCTGATTCTATGCCTTGTAACTGAGAAATGGTTGAAGCCAATAGTGGATTTACATTTGAAAAAACAATATCACTTCTCTGGTAGCATTTGGACAATCTACAGAGTATTGGCAATACATCTGACAAAAAATGAGTAATGTATTGATTTCAGCAAACCAACAGTTTTTGGAGAATTATCTTCTAACAACACAGTTATTAAGCTGGAATAGTTTCTGAGTAATGCAGTTACGGATCCCTCAAATGATAACCACCTGGTATTTGATATTTGCTTTAACCTGGTACCCGAATCAGCATTAACAGAGGCAAGAATTTCCTGGATTTTTTCAAGTCTGGATAGGTTTTTGGGTGAATTTGAAAAATATTTATATGCACCGGATGAACATAAGGCAAGTCTATGCGCAATACAATGGGTACTCAACAATCCTGGAACTATTTCCTTAAATCGTGTTGTCAGCCCACTCCTACTCCCAACCATAACTGCAGCACCATCAGTAGCAATCCCACACATTTTTTTCACATCAAGTTCATTTTCAAACAGTAAGTCAGTAATTTCTTTGAGAATTTTATCAGCAGTTGCCCCATCCGAAAGTTTTCTGATCCCCAAAAAGTCTGTTCTAACATTATTACAAAAGATATATCTCACATACACTATTAAATTTTGGTCCACTGAAACATCAGTTGATTCGTCTAATAAGATACTGTAATAGTCTGATCGACTTAAGCGCTGTCGAAGATCTTCACGTACTGTGTCAGCTATTGCTGCCTGAAATTCTTGGACACTTTGGTTATGAGTATACGACGTGTGCTTATCAACTATCAAGTCTTTGAATTGTTCAGCACCCTGAAAAACATAAAAAGGAGCAAATTTAAAGCGAGCGAGAACAGCAGGCATGAATGGGCAAATTTAAATAAAAGAGAGGCATAGATCTACTAAGTAATTGAAAGTTTTGTAACTTACCTGTTGTAAACAGAGTGAATTCAAATCTGACAGTAGCGTGTTCGGTAAGTCATGCTCTGCCATGAATAGGACATTTCTCATGGCTGATAATATAGCTTCTTTTGATTTTGACACCGATTTCTCTCTGGCCTTTGCCATGTCATTGCCATTTTCAATTATCAATACCGCTTCTTTGTGACTAGACGGACCTGCAAAAATAAACATTAAATTTAATACTTGGTCATCGAAGACAGGATTGATATTATTGAGTCGTAGATATTCTGTAACAGGTTTATCACCCTAAGATCTCGGTTCCTTTCGATATTCGCGCATATCGGACAATAAATTCCCGAATTATGGTCCCGATTGTACGAAAAATCGTGTTTTTAGCTTATGGACCATATAGAGGTCATAAATTTTATCCGATTTAAAAAACCGTTTTAGTATATCACCGTTATACGCTAAGGATGGCTGAGTTTGAATTTCGTGAAAATCGGACCAAAACTTACTGACAAAATGTCCGCCCATCGTTCTCAAATAGCGTAAAAATAAGGTATATCAAGGTTGTGGGCCCTATAGAGGTCACAATTTTTATCCTATTTTGTTGAAACTTCCTTAATTATGGCCCCTGATTATACGAAAAATTGCGTTTTTAACTTGTGGACCCTATAGGTCATAATTTTTATCCGATTTAAAAAAAACAAAAAAAAACGTTTTAATATATCACCGTTATACCCTAAGGACGGTTGAGTTCGATTTTCGGGAAAATCGGCCCCAAACTGACAGACAAAATGGCCGCCCCTCGTTCTCAAATAGCGTAAAAATGTGGTATATCAAGGTTTATAACCCAAAGATCTCAGTTCCTTTCGATATTCGCGCATATCGGACCGTAACTTCCTGAATTATGGCCCCTGATTGTACGAAAAATCGCGTTTTTAGCTTGAGGTCCCTCTAGAGGTAGCAATTTTTATCTGATTTAAAAAAAAATGTGTGAATAATCGCGGATACCGAGCTTAACTTTCCTGGATTATGGCCCCTGATTGTTCGAAAAATGTCATTTTTAGCTTGTGGATTCTCTAGAGGTCACAATTTTTTCCACCATAATGAAGGTTGAATTCGAATTTCGGGAAAATCGAAATGAAACTGCCCAACAAAATGGCCACTCTTTTACACAAATTGTGTAAAACTATGCAATTGGAAGGTTGTCGACCCTCTAGAGGTCACAATTTTTATCCGATTCTGATGAAACTTAAAACATATGTTTATATCCCAAAGATCTCAGTCCCTTTTGATATTTGCGCATTTCAGACCATAACTTTCTGGATTATTGCCCCTGATTGTACAAAAAATCCCGTTTGTTTTTATTTTGTTCTCTATCCATCTCTTGCAAAATGTGGGCGTATCCTGCTTGGCAGCCGCTGGTTGAATTTTAATACAATTATAACATTTTTAACATAAATAAAAATAACAATCGGATTTCACAGGAATGATGGACACTGAGCCTTATTTTTATGATTGCCCTTATGTACTATATATTTATTGTTTATGTGCACTTTATATTTATTGTTAGTGATAAACAGTTACCTATTTTTCTGACATTGTACAAATCTTTTAATAAATAATATTATATTACTCAATAGGTTACCTTTTATATGTCTCTGACATGGAAATGTGATCATTAATCGTTTGATCTGTCTACAATTTGTATTTGTTGTTACATTTGTGTTAACAAAGAACATTATTCAATTTCGTTTATCTATTTCTAGAATTATGAATATTGCTGCACTTTCTGGAACCAACAAGTGTATTGAATTTCAATAATGTTCTTTAGTTACCTGTATAGTTATGCTACTTAACTTTGCACAACATTGTCAATACATTCTGTCAGTAACAACGAACTTATAATCTGAAATTTACACATGTTCTTTAGCTTACTGTTTCAATGATGCCAAATGAATTTCAACAGCTATTTTAAACTACTTGTAGAACTGTGTCTCTTGTTCAACTTTGTCTTAAACCTTATGAACACTTTAATCACAAACATTACCATCTCATTACTGTCAAACATATATATATATATATATATATCTTATTAAACTTCTGCAATTTATATTTATACTACTACAGTTAACCCCCATGTTCAACATTAACAATCATCAAAGTATCCCCTTTGTCACTACATTATGAACACTTAAATCACAAACATTACCATCTCATTACTGTCAAACATATATATATATTATTAAATTTCTGCAAGTTATATTTATACTGCTACAGTTAACCCACATGTTCAACATTAACAATCATCAATTATCCCCTTTGTCACTACAATGCTAAAAAAATTGTTGACAATATTTCACATTTAATTTGAATTATTCCCTAACATACCATTGCGTAAAAACCTTGCAACACCAATAGATGTTACCCTATAATAGTAAGTGCAGGTAAGATTTTTTTTTTCAAATTCGTTATGAAACATTGAGATAAGGACAACCCCCTTCAATTTCCCTATTCTCCATTACTCTCTTGCAAAGAAGTTGGCATACATGTATCAGCATATCTTACACGGTAGCAAATGTATACATTGCTTGGAAGACATCATTGTGGAAGGCACCTTATTTGAGGCTGGCACTCTACTTATTTCTGATTTCCCTTTATTTATTTTATTTTAACAATACCAACACAATGAAATAATTATTTGGTGTTTGCCCTTCGCTACATCATATAAGTTATGTTATACAATGCAGTATTCATTTTATACGTCCACATTGAAATGTGGTTGTATATTGTCGTCGCCCCAGTCCGTCGTCCACAAGCAATTGTTGATGCTCTAGAGGCTAAAGTTAATTTAACTGTGTTAATTTCATCAATTGTCATAAATAATTCCTTCTACCATCATCATGAAGTTTGTACAGGTCAGCATAACATCTTCAGGAACAATTTGCAAACGCATCTCTATGCTATGGTTTAGTTAATAATTTCAGTGAAATTTTCAATGAATCGGTATCATATGAGACTAGATCCCAGTTTGTTTACATCCGCCATTTGTATCCAACCGACATGTCAGCCAGTCCAGCAATTTTGAATAAACAACTCCACCTAAACAGTCCTAGGACTAACTAGAAATCAGCCAGATTTCTTCAAGTTTGGGAATGTGACCTCAAAGACATGTTGAAGAGAATGCTGCCATCAACTTCTCAAAGACAATAAATTGTAGCCCAATTATTATCTATTCAGATGGTGTATTGTATAAATGTCATATTACACTGCTCTATCTTTAGAATGTAAAAGTTATATGGGTTTGGAATTAGGTTCTATGAGAATTTCAATTCAAATTGAATAAGAGAATAAGAAAAACTAATCAAATTAAACATAGAAATAAACAAATTTAATAACTATTTAATATATTATAATAATATTAGTATTTCTATGGTCCCAATCAAATAATTTTATTCGGATTATCCCCCACATCACATCGGTAGTTTTCTTCGGATTCGCTTTCACAGCAAGATTTTTCTTCATATTGGTCCCCACACCACTATTTTCTATAGATTGCCTCCCGCCCCTCAAGCAGGACTGATTTATAATGGTTCAGATTGGCCCTCACAGCAGCATTTTCTATAGATTGGTCCAAACAGCAAGATTTTCTATAGATTTGTCACAACAGCAAGATTTTCTATAGATTATTACAGCATATTTATTATTATTACAGCATATTTATAGTGCACCCTTTCATATAACGTGTTCAGGGGCACTTTACAAAGTAACAGTGTAATCATATAAAAAAAATAACCCAAAAAACAATCCAACAGTGCGGCTGATGTCCCCCACCGAAATCTCAAAATAAATAGATGACACATATTAATTAATCAAATTGATTATCAAGTATACACTAACTTTCGTCACTCTATCAGACAGAATCAAAGTTATCTTGTCCCAATGAAATTGCTTAGCTTCAGTCAAGACATTCACCTAATGAACATCTACATCAAGTTTAAACATTCTAGCTTGTGATTTTGCGCATCATTTATTTTAACAATGTCCATTAAAAGTGGTGGTGTGGTTTGATAGATATTGTTAGGGACCCGAGTAATCACCGGAATTCACCGGAATTCATTTACAATCACCGGAATTCACATATATTCACTTCGACCCCCCCCCCCCCGATTCCTCCCACAAAACTAATTTATTTTAAATGGATAATACATTATAATACAACGAATAACTATTTTGATCTCTCCACAGGCCAGATGAAGGCGCTGTAGGTGTATTTATTTGAAAGACTACCGGAATTTATTTCAAATATATATACTCTTCAAAAAAAGTAGGGGATATACAGAACTGCGGAAATGCACTGCTGTTTATATAAGAGGTAACCAGTGTATGTTAATAACAGGCCAATTGCCTACACATGAACATAAACAGTTCATATGGGCGGCTTATCTGACGGCCCCATTTACATGTAACTTGCAAAGAGATACACAGTCAAAAGTGAAATTTGACGTTTTGATATTTGTCTCAATAATGAGTAATTGCTCCACCAATCCTCAGACATTCAGCAATTCGTCGTGGCATGCTCCTAATCAACCGCCTAATCACGATTTGGGGCAATCTGACCCACTCCTCTTGCAGCGCCATGGCCAATTCTTGCAGTGTTGTCGGTTGACGTTGACGTCGACGAACACGTCTCCCGATCAAATTAAACGTAACACACTAAAGCAAAGATACGCTAAACAGTAAATCTAATGCAAGAACCGATAGGAAAGCAAACATGGATAGATAAACCAGCACGCGGCAGTTTTCATCAACCCTTCCCTGAAGTGTCAAATTTGACAATGAACCCCTCCCACGTGTTGGCGCTATTGCGTGTCGCATGTGGAGCTGAGAGGATCTGTTGGGGCGATAAGTTCTTCATCTGTGAACATACTCTCAAAGCATGTCAAATTTCCATAACTATTTATCATATCGCAACCTGCATTGGTATTTGCATTTCAATATCCCCTACTTTTTTTGAAGAGTATATATGCATCATGATTATGATAACGGGGGGGTAGGGCACGTCGAATTACCCAATAACTCCAAAACAACACCCAGTAACTCCAAAACTTTTGACTGTGGAAACACAAAATAACAATTTAGTTGAGTTTAAGAAGCCTCACTGCTTTGTGCCCAAATCGGAGGTTCATGAGAGATAACTCGTGTACATGAT